ACTTAACTTATAATGAAAATACCCAAAATACCCTAAGGTCAAAGTTCGACAAATCCTCGTCAGCGTCAAAATGTCAAAAAGTCAACTGAGTCAACTCAGCTGAGTACGCCTAGCGTACTCAGCTTGTACGCTTAGAGTACTCAGGCCTTGACCAGAAACGAGGTGTTGACTTTGTCCGCCCCATACCATAGCATACACAGTTGCTTTCTTTCTTTTCTATTAAGAGCTTAATACCTTAAGCTCTTTCGTCCAAATTCCAGATCTAGTACTTAAACGATGTCCTTAACCATAAAGTTTCCAACTTTATGGTCTTACATGGCTATTAAGTGCTCAATACCAAAAACCCTAACTTCTTAACTTGTTGAGACATCCTAGTTCATGCATGGAAGGAAACTAATTACCAAGATTACATTTTTATGCTTCTAAACTCTCCAAAACTTCTGAAAGGATAGTTTATAAGAATTAGAGTAACCCATACTCATAATACCAAGCTTATGTGACCAAAAAGAACACAAATCTATGGCTAAACAAGATCTAAGCATAACTTCATCAATTTCAGAGCTTTTTACCTTCAAAGGGTGTCAAATGATGGTGTGATTTCGGATCCAAAGTGCTCCACTCTTTTAGGATGGTTTCCTTTTCCTTCTTCCTCCTTCAAGAACACCAAAATGCAAACTCAAAGCTCAAAAATGTTCTCAAATGGATTAGGGTTTGCTAGGGTCCAGTTGGAGGATGGAGGTTGATGAATGAAAGGCTTTTAAGGCTATAATGAGGTTTAAATAGGGCGCAAACACTAAATATTAGGGTTTGAGACTCTGCCACATACTCCCAGCATACACACGTACGCCCAACGTACGCAAGCAAATCACCAAAAGTTACAAAAATGTCATTGGGAGCAAACTGCAAACAATTCTCATATCAAGGGAAAAAATGAAATACATCGAAATCAATATGTTACAACTCTCACCCACTTGAACTACACTTCATCCTCAAAGTCCACTGCCATGAATAACTCGGGGTAGTGCTCTCGCATCTCCACCTCGGGTTTCCAAGTCCATTTGGAACCTCTCTGATCCTACCACTAAACCTTGACCAAGGAAACCACCTTGTTACATATGGCCTTCATCTTACGATCCAAAATCGCCACTAGTCTCTCAAAAATAATTCAGTCGATCATCAACCTGAATATCCTATAGAGGCACAACTATTGAGTCATCAGCCACACACTTCCGAAGCTGAGAAACATGGAAGGTGTTGTGAATCTAACTGAGCTCCTCAGGCAAATCCAACCTGTAAGTTACCTTTCTAATCTTGAAAATCACTCTAAATTGCCTAATATACCGAGGACCCAACTTTCCCCTCTTCCTGAAGCGTATTACACCCTTCCAGGGTGATACCTTCAGTAAAACCATGTCGCTGACCTGGAACACCAACTCAGATCAACGATTGTTAGCATAAAGTGCTAAAATGTTTACAAATGTGGTTGCTATAACCGTTTAAAAAAGGTAATAAGATTTTAATTTTGTCCACATTAGGTCCCTAAGGTCTTTTTTTGTACATATTACACCAACATGGTTGTTATAACCGTTTTAAGAGGGGTAATAAGGTTTTAATTTTGTCCACATTGGGTCCCTATTTTTAATATTTGTATCATTTCATCTAACTCTTTTATAATTTATATTAGTATCTAGTTAGATGGCTTCATCATTTTATCTTCTCATTTTAGTCGCCCATTCACCACAACCACAGTTTCAATTGAAATGTTACATAACAATTTTGTGTCATTTAAAAAAAAGTCTTAATGATTAAGGTTATGTTTGGCACGCCACAACTAGCTGATAAGCTAGTTTATTTTTCGATCTTTTTTAAGTTGTCATGTTTGGCAAGGCAAAAAGTAACTTATAAGCTAGCGTTTTAAAAAGTTACTTAGACTAGTTTTTTAAAAGTTTTTTTTTTAATTTCCATATATACCCTTTAATTAATTAAGAAAACATATTTTTTTTAAATGTCATTATATAATTTTCAGATAACTTATAAGCCAGTGACAGAGCCAATGTCAAAGTAAAAGAGTATTACCGACAAGTAATGTGGTATCCCCGATAAGTAATGTGGTATCCCCATTACTTTTCGGAGATACTATTTTACTTTGACCCTGGCTTCGCCACTGGCTTATAAATTATCTGAAATTTATATAATGACATAAAAGGGCATTTAAAAAATATGTTTTTTTAATTAATTAAGGGGTATATTTGGAAATTTAAAAAAAAACTTTTAAAAAACTTGTCTAAGTAGTTTTTAAAACGCTAGCTTATAAGCTATTTTTTGGCTTACCAAACATGACAACTTAAAAAAGATCCAAAAATAAACTAGCTTATCAGATAAATGTGACGCACCAAACATAGCCTTAATCATTAAGACTTTGATTATTATTAGTTTTTTTATTATTTTTTATTTTTTATTTTTTTGTAAAAATAACAAAAAATTGTTATGTAATCTTTCAATTGAAACTGTGGTTGTGGTGAATGGGCGACTAAAATGAGAAGATGAAATGATTAAGCCATCTAACTAGATATTAATATAAATTATAAAAGAGCTATATGAAATGATAAAAATATTAAAAATAAAGACCTAATGTGGACAAAATCAAAACCTTATTACCCCTCTTTAAACGGTTATAACAACCATGTTTGTGTAATATGTACAAAAAAAGACCTTGGGGACCTAATGTGGACAAAATTAAAACATTATTACATTTTTTAAACAGTTATAACAACCATGTTGGTGTAATATGTACAAAAACAAACCTTAAGGACCTAATGTGAACAAAGTTAAAATCTTATTACCATCCTAAGTCATTAACCCTTCTAACTTGAAGGTGATAAATAATTAGTCATTAACCCTTATAACTTAAAGGCGATAAATAATTAGATTTAAAATTAAGGATGGATTTTATGTAGCTTATATTCAAACAGAATGTTCGAAGAATATATTGATCATGCTTAAACATATTTATTTTAATAAATGAAGGTTTTTTTGTCACATGTCATATTTTCATTCAATTTGTCAAATGTCATTTTTTGTTATTTTAAATTAATTTTTTTCCACATGTCATTTTATAAGTTTTTTTTTATTTTATTAAATTCCACATAATAATTTAATGTAATAATTACAATAAATGTAGTAATAGATATCAATTTCATTAACGTAGTTACCTTCTAATTTCAATATTTCCAAATTAAAGCTTATTAATTTCTTTTGTTTATTTATTTAAATTATTTGTTTAAATTTAAAATATAAAAAACATTTCAATTTTAATAATTTATTATTTTTATTATTTTCTTATAAATTTAAAGTTCTCAATATTTAAACTTTTATATCTAACTTTTTTTTTAAATTAACTCATGTAATACATTTGTCTCACAACTAGTACAAAATATCTACTTTAATAGATAAAGATTTTTTTTGCCCCATGTCACATTTTCATTTAATTTGTCAAATGTCATTTTTTGGTTATTTTAAATTAATTTTTTTCTACATGTCTTTTTATGAGTTTTTTTGTATTTTATTAAATTCCACATAATAATTTGATGTAATAATTACAATAAATGTAGTAATAAATAGATATCAATTTCATTAATGGACTTACCTTCTAATTTCAATATTTCCAAATTAAAGCTTATTAATTTTTTTGGTTTGTTTATTTAATTTATTTGTTTAAGTTTAAAATAGAAAAAAAAACATTTTAATTTTAATAATTCATTATTTTTCTTATTTTCTTATATATTTAAAGTTCTTAAATATTTAGACTTTTATATTTAACTTTTTTTTAATTAACCCATATAATATATGGGTGTCACAGCTAGTATAAAATATATTATAGTATTTAAAATATATTATTGAACCAAAAAACATATTTAAGAAATAAACTTACTACCGGCAGAATTTGTGAATCATGTAATATTCTCAAATGGTGGATAAAAGTACTCGTATTTCGGTATTTGAAAAGATATAACATTTAGATCAACCAATGAGTACAAATTAAACAGAATGTAAATATAATAATTGTTTATATTATTTTTAACTTGAACTGACTGAAAATAATCTATTTAAAGAGTTTCCACATGAAAAATTCCTTTTACGAAAAAGGAAGTGGGGGCGATGGTTGCGTTTGACTTTTAAGGCGATAAGTCAAATTTCCACACACTAATTTTAATTATTGCAAACGAGTCACCGACTGTTCAGACTCGCTCTCTTCAGACATAGCATAATCTCTCTCTCATATATATATATATATATATATAGATATATATATATATATATATATATATATATATATATATATATATATATATATATATATATATATAGAGAGAGAGAGAGAGATGAAGGATCATTTGAGAACTCAAAGTTTCCCGAGAACCCGAGAACCAAACCAGGGCCGTTAGATCAAAATAACAAAATTTGTGGCATTTTTGTAAATACATGGTAAAAAAACAACACGGGGGCATGATAACTAAATGATTAAGGGGCATTTTAGAGATGAATTACCTGTGCGTCTCTCTCTCTATCTCATCCAACCTCCTACCGTCACATCGCCTCCAAAGACGACCCCTTCGCTCATCTTCTTCTTCATCGTCGTTGTCTTTGGTCGCCGGAGACGATGTCTTCATCCGTCATGACTCCAATCGTTGAACATGGAGGAGCATCACTTCCGTAAATCATATGTGTCGCAGGAAGAAGACAATTACAGGTTCACTCTCTTCAAAACTAACCTCCGCCACACAAATCGTCATCAAAAGCTTGATTTGTCAGCTTATCCATGGCGTCACTGGATTCTCCGACATGACTCCATCGGAATTTCGAAAGCATCTCGGATTGAGATCTCGATTTTATATTTGGATCCAAAGTCCATCGTCGTTGATTTATTCGGTTAATCAGAAGAGAACGAAGATTGATTTCGAAAACTACAGAAAACTCTGTTACTCGTTTCCTCTGATCCTATGATTATGTAAGTTTCACTTTTCTATTGATTTTAGTTAGTTGTTTCAGTCCAGGAAGAAGGTCAGATTTACATTCTTTTTTATTTTATTAAATTGATAGCAATTATGAACTGATAATTTGATTTTGATTTTTGATTTTTGATTTCTTCTGTTTCTTATAACAAAATTAGGGATAATATTATGTAATGTTATTCTAGTTTCAAATTTATTGTACTATTCTATGATATAGGTTTAAATTTGTTGATTGGTTAATGCATTCAAGGTGTTTGTTAAAATGCATCAATGAAAAAGACTATAGAACGATCAATTATGGTTATATGTGTTGTAAACTAGATAATTTTACAGGAGTTGTAAGCCTTTGTTTTCATAAGCATTCATTATTATATTTTGCAAGTTTCTATTTTTGATCTTTTAATTTGCTTTCTATAATGTTACAGGAGGATAAGTGGTTTATCTAATGGAAATCTGGATTTTATTCAGAATTTGAAGTCCTTGAGTGTTCTGTAAGCAAGTATATTGATCTTTTTTTAAAGTATACCCATGCTTCCTTTATTATCCTGGAGCTTAATATATAACAAGATGTTACCTCTTGCAGAATGTTGAGAAATAACAGACTTTCTGGCTCTATTCCAAATGACATAGGAGAACATGTAAACTTGACACTACTGTGAGTACTGAGTAATGGGAATATATGGATTTATTTCATAATATGAATATAAACTAATAATGAAAAGCTCTCCAATTGGGTGTCTTCTTTTCAGGGATTTGAGTTTCAACAATTTGAGTGGGGAGATTCCAAGAGGATTGTTCAACTTGAGTCAAATGTCTTTCTTGTAATACACATATTCTCCTTCTTTGATAAATAGTATTTGTTGATTGGGTGGTTTCTGAACTTGCGACTGTAGTAGCACAAGATATATCTCTTCTTGATCAATGTGAAGCTTTATTCACTTGTGCATCTTCTCTATAGGTAAATATTTACATTTTAATTGTCAAAAAAGTTAATAAAACTACAAAGGAACATGTAATAACATGTAATTCACATGTGAATCACAAGCGATTCACATATAAATCACAAGTTATTCACATGTAAATCACAAGTGATTCACATATGAATCACATGTAATTCACATATAAAATCACATGTAATTCACATATAAAATCACATGTAATTCACATGTAAATCACAAGTGAATCCCATATGAGTTACATATGAATCACAAGTGATTCACATATGAATTACATGTGATTCACGTGTAGATCACAAGTGAATCATATAAGAATTACATGTGATTCACATATAAATAACATGTAACTCACATATGAATTACATGTGATTCACGTGTAAATCATATGTAATTCACATATGAATCACATGTAAATCTTATATGATATGTGCATGTGCATTTTTGTGAGTGTTCTTGCATTAATCAAAATTTTTTTAATTTTCTTGTAGATTTTGAAGAATTTGTGGAAAATATTGAAGAGGTGAAAAGTCATAAATTGAAGAAAATATGAAAATCTTGATATGACGAAATGATAACATTGTGAATCTTCGTAGCATTTTTTATTTTTTATATTTTATTTTGTGTCGAATAAAATACTTGTACTATTATGCTTATAGATTGATTAATAAGAATGAGATTTTTTTATGATTTACATACGAATATTATAGTATAAGAAATATGCATATATTCATTTGAAAAAAATATGAATATATGCACCTAAAATGTTGATTTTTTTTGTTAAAAAATTAGAGTTTTTTTTTTAAATATTCTAGTTTTTTTTTTATATAAATTTACTGATTTTTAAAAATTTATATTTTTTTAAAAAGTGCAGTTTTATTAAAAAAAGTGTAGTTTTTTTGAAAAAATTGCAGTAATTTAGAAAAAAATGCAGTTTTTTTTTAAAAAATTATTGTTTTATTAAAAAATTTACAGTTTTTTTAAATACAGTTTTTTTTTCAAAAAAAAGGCAGTTTCTTTTTTGAAAAAATTGCAGTTTTTAAAAAAAATTCAAATTTTTTAAAATTCTGCAGTTAAAAAAAAACGAAAATTATTTTTTTTATAAAAAAATCCAAAATTTTGTTTTATTATGTTAATTTGAGAGCTTTTTTAATAATATTTCCAATAATACAAAAAATTAAGTCGGATTGGTATGATGACGATCATGCCCTTAATGATTTGATTTTGATCCAACGCTCCACCTTTAGTTCTTAGGTCGTCGGGAAACTATGAGTTCTCAACCGATCTTAACCCTATATATATATATATATATATATATATATATATATATATATATATATATATATATGAGAAAAATTACGATCATGCCCTTAATGATTTGATTTTGATCCAACGTTCCACCTTTAGTTCTTAGGTCCTCGGGAAACTATGAGTTCTCAACCGATCTTAACCCTATATATATATATATATATATATATATATATATATGAGAAAAATTAATTGTTTCCTACTTTTTATGCCTATAAATATTCTTACCCACTAATATTATTAATAGTGTCACCATTCCATATTTTTTTAACTATCTTAATAAGAATAAATTAGGAATATATCAAATCAAATTAAATTGAATGGTGAAATGATGACACATGTCATAATGTTAATGGATATGAATATTTGTAGGCATAAATAGTAGGAGCCAATTTAATTTCTCTCTCTCTCTCTCTCTCTATATATATATATATATATATATATATATATATATATATATATATATATATATATAGAGAGAGAGAGAGAGAGGTAAGTTCAATTGAGAAAAAAAAAGGTTTAGAATGGAGGAATCATTCTCAGTCACTCATTTATTTTTGCCGCAAAAGCCTCTGTTGTACCAGCGGAAATGGATAAGGAATACACATGTGTTTTCAACAAAGCATGTTTCCTTAAACTATGTTAATCATTACCTTAATTTATACAAAAACATAGAGTGCGTTTGGTTGGCAGGAAAGGATTGGAATTCGAGGGAAAATGATTCCAATTCCCTCGAATTCCTGTGTTTGGTTCAACTTAAGGAAGGAATGGGAATCCTAAATGAGGAAAACATTCCTTCATACATTAGAAACTACATTCCTTCATCAAACTGATGGAAATAAATCCATACCATCTAGGAAAGTGAAATTTTACCATTATACCCCTTTTATTTTAACAAAATCCTTCTAAAAACAAAAACCCTATCACAACGTCTTCCTCAAAATCGGACTCAGCCTCATCACAGCCGACATCACAGTGTGCTCGTCTTCTCCATTTTTTCATCAAAATCGAATTGCAGGCTTCATCAAACGCAACTGGTTCTCCATCTCTTCGTCAGGTATGTGTATCGATACAACTCCTAATCGTGATTTCTCTCACTGTCACTCTCTGTCACGCTCTCTCTCTCCCTCGTAATCTTGATTCTACCCACTGTTTCTTGTATTGAAAAGTCGATTATAGGAAAATCGATTATCTATTTTTATTCAGTGAAGAGCGATTTTTTTGAAACATGTATCCAGTTGTTTCTTGTTTTCTGTTGATTCACACTGAACTTCTCTTTTCGATTTCCAGAAAATCGATTTCAGTGAAAATCAAGTTTGTTCCTTTTTAGTTTTATCACTAATATCGTAGACAACAGAATATGATCTGTTTTTCTGTTGATTCAAATGTTTTCTGTTGATTCAAATGTGAAAATCAAATGTGAAAATCAAATTAAATGTGAGAATCAAATTGTTCATCTTTTTTTCTTTTAACTTCAGCAACTGTTAAAATTAAATGGTGTTGTGTACACTCTGAATATGATCTGAATTTGTATGCACAGGAAAATGTCCCGCCCTAGTTTAACAACATATAATCGTAGAAAAAGACAAAATTCATTGATTTTGAAATGGTGGAACGTGGTTTTGCACATTGTTGTACTCCTCTTGTTAATGATGTTCAAAAACCATATAGATAAACGACGTATTAAGCGGATTTCTTCAAATATAGATCGATACCCAATACTACATGAAATAGTTTATGAGAGTGACACCATGTCTATATCACAAATTAGGATGTCTCGAATGTGCTTTAAAAAGTTATGTCATATGCTTGAAACATTCGGAGGACTAAAACGAAGTAGGAATATGGATATTGATGAACAAGTTGCCATTTTTCTACATATTCTTGCTCATAATGTTAAGAATCGGGTCATCATAAGTCGCTTTCATCGTTCGGGAGAAACGATTAGTAGGCACTTTAGTCGAGTTTGTAATGCTGTCATACGATTGCATACTCGTTTGCTTAAGAGACCCGAACCTGTTCCCAATAACTCCACCGATCAAAGATGGAAATGGTTTAAGAATTGTTTAGGAGCTTTAGATGGAACATATATAAAGTGCCTAGTTCCAGCCGAAGAAAAGCCTAGATATAGAACAAGAAAGAATGATATTGCAACAAACGTTCTAGGGGTTTTGTTCCCAAGATATGCAGTTTATCTACGTGTTACCGGGATGGGAGGGGTCGGCTGCGGATGGTAGAGTTCTTCGGGATGCTCTTCTTAGACCACATGGATTGAAAGTTCCAAGACCGGGTATGTAAATCTTATATATGTATATATATATATATATATATATATATATATATATATTTAACTATAAATCTTATTTATAAAACGTTATTAACTACAAATCTTATTTGCAGGTTATTATTTAGTTGATGCTGGATATACAAATGGAGAGGGTTTTCTAGCCCCGTATAGAGGGTAAAGGTATCACTTAAATGAATGGCGTCATGGGCACCAACCAACTACAACAAAGGAATTCTTTAACATGAAACATTCATCAGCAAGAAATGTCATTGAACGATGTTTTGGCATTTTGAAGGGAAGATGGGGAATATTAAAGGACAATTCGTATTATCCAATTGAAATGAAAGATAAGATCATAATGGCATGTTGTCTACTACATAACTTCATAAGACAAGAAATGGAAGTAGATCCTTTTGACAATGAATGTGATCGGGATGAGGGAACCGGAGATGTTGGACCTGAAGATGTTGATAATATTACTTCTGTAGGGACTTCGAATGAATGGACCATATTTAGAGATAATTTAGCGGAGTCCATGTTTGCATCTAGGGGCGCGGCAAATTAAATTGGCATTTTGCTTATCTATTTATGATGTATCTCTATGTTGGACAAATTGTTGTATTGTTTGCTTATCGTTACGTTGAACAATTGTTGCTTTTTTAACGTTATGTTGGACAAATTGTTGCTTGCTTAATGTTATCGACAATTGGCATTTTGCTTATCTATTTATAATGTATCTAAAATTAGTTTTGATACTTATCTATTGGTTTTTGTTATGTTTATATAGGTATGACAAGTCAAATTAGAAATTATAAGACATGGACAAACAATGAAGAAGCAAAGCTAGTTGAGGCATTAGTGAATATGACAAATGCTGGAGGATTTAAAGCCGATAATGGTTTTAAGTCGGGTTATTTGCAACATCTTGAGCAAGCATTAAAACAATCACTTCCGGACTCGCGTATTTTAGGTAAGCTAGATATTGAGTCAAAGATAAAAACCATGAAGAGAGATTGGCAATGTGTCTACGATATGGTAAACGGTTCAAACACAAGCGGGTTTGGTTATGATTCTGAAAAACATTGTGTTACTGTTGAGGATTCGGTTTGGGAGGCGTACCTACAGGTACATCATGTTATAATATTTTTATTTTTATAGTTTATAATGAAGTGACTATATGGAAATATTTTGTTTTTTTATATAAATTATCATGTTGGTAAATAGGGTCATAAAGAAGCGACTAGATGGAAACACAAATCATTTCCTTACTATGAAGATCTTTGCATTGTTTTTGGAAAAGACCAAGCTCAAGGAAATAGAGCTAGAGATTTCATTGAGATGGAGCAAGATGTGAACTTAGAAGAAGAAATGCAAGAGTCGGATGATGACATACTTGAATCCGAGGAAATTAGCCATAATACAATAGTGCAAAATGAGGAAACGTCACCAAGTGTTCGCTCTAATAAGAGGAAACGGTGTGCCGATGATGTGTTCAATAATGCGGTTGGTTTGATTACTGAAAGTCTAAAAGAAATATCAAAAGATTTGAGTCAAGGTATTAAATTTGACATGAAGATTAACGAATTGAGTGAGAAGATCCCTCCGGAGATTTTAAAGATGAGTTCATTAAGTCAAGTCGAGAAGTTCAAAGCTTTGACCAAGATAAGAAGTGATCCAATAAACGTACAAAAGTTTTGGCAAATTGAAGAAGGCGATAGAGAAGTTTGGGTCAAATACATTTTGGAAGGGTAGTATTATTAATTAGGATGTTAATTTCTTTTTGGATTTTTAAGCTCTTTTGGGATGTTTATTAGGATGTTGCTTGGTATTTTGGATTTGTAAGTTTTTGGTATCTTCGATAGGGATGTATCGAAATATTGATATGCTTTTTGGTAACATTATTATGATGCAAAGTGGAATGACTTTAACTTATGATGTTTATTAACGTGATTTTCATAATATGTTTGTATGAATGTTCAATCAATAAATTAAAATTTACTATTTCAATAATTTATATAATACATGTTTACATATAACTTAAAAAACAAAGTAAAATTAAGCAAAACAGACAAAAGGGCAATTATGTTATTTTACATGAATTCCAATTCCATTTCCTGCGAACCAAACAGAATCTGGAATTAATTCCAATTCCATTTCCTGCCAACCAAACAGCATACAGAATTGGATTCAAATTCATGACAGATTCTTTTTCCAATTCCAATTCAAATTTTCAGCAACATTCTGCGAACCAAACAACACCATAGTTTTTTTTTCCGTTTTTTTAATTTTTAAGAAGTTATTTTTATTGAAAAATGATTTTAAATATACAAAAATTCATGATTTTTTATTCTCTACAAATACACATCCATATTGATATACTTTTAAGATAATATATATATATATATATATATATATATATATATATATATCTATATATTATATCTATTATATTTTCAGCTATCGTTATTCATAAGTGAATAAAAATGCATCAGATTTTTGCTACAGTACATTCGTTATTCAGTTATGAATAAAAATATATAATTAATTTTTTTACAGTTTAAGTATCATTTGTACTACTTATTCATATATGAAAACAAATTAACTGTAACAAAAAATCTGATAAATGTTTTATTCATATATGAATATAAAATATGACGACAACTAATACACATTTTATTTATATATAATTATAATATATGACGAAAGATGATGTAAAAAATATATTTTAAGTAAGAAAACTTTATTACGTGTCATATTCATATATGAACGATACTTAAACTATAAAAAAAAAATTAAGCATACGTTTTATTCATAAGTGAATAGCGAATGTACTGTAATAAAAATCTGATAGATTTTTATTCACTTATGAATAACGAGAGCTGAAACTCTAAAAAAAGAATTTTTTTATTTTATCTTAAAACTATATCAATATGGATGTCTATTTATAGAGAATAAAAGTTATGAATTTTGATATATTTAAATAATTTTCGATTATAAAAATGGCTTTCTAAAAAAAACAAAAAAAAAAGTATGTTTTTGTGTATATTAAGGTAATGATTAATATAGTTTAATGAAACATGTTTGGTTGGAAAACACATGTTTATCCGTTATCCATTTCCGACGGTACGCCTAAGTGTTTTGCGGCAAATTAAATGTATGGCTGAGAATGATTCCCTCATTCTCAACTTTTTTTTTCTCAATTGAACCCTCTATATATATATTATATATATATATATATCTTCTATCTATATATATTATATATATATATAATATATATATAGAGAGAGAGAGAGAGAGCGAGCGAGAGAGAGTGTGTGTGTATGTGTGTGAGGATCATGTATAACCTATATATATTATGTGAATGTATGACCAAATGTGGTCTGATCATTTTATAAATGCATTAAAGTAATTTTATTTATTAAATTAAATATTATAAAATTAAATCACCGTATATTATAATCAATTTAAAATACTTAATTTTAGGGATAAATGATTGACCACCGACCATTCACCCTCTCTTTCTCGATAACCCTAACGATCCATCCATATTTTCCTACTCCTCCTACGTGTATCGGCATATCCCACATTTTAAGATAGCTTAATCGATTCTATTTCTATCTAATGCAGTACTGGAGCATGCCATTAAAATTTTCTTCTTTGTTGTTGCGTACAGAGAGCAAAGACCAGGTTAAACATGAAGGTCACCAACTAATTTCCATCAGTTTGGTGTCTCATTGAGATGTTGGTGATGAAGGTAATACGAAAAATGTAGTTCAATCATTATATGTATGAAATATATACACAAACTTAATTAAAATTAAAAGGTTTAATTTTGATATATATTTATATTAATATATAAGGGATATATAAACAATTTTTTTGATTATTTGGTATGTCGTACAGATGAAGAAAAACAAGTTTTTGAGTTTTTCTTTTTTGGATTGTTCTCGGCATACATAAAAGAGACAATTTTTTTTTTTTGGTGTTGGTTTGTTTCTTACTATACACAGTTTCAAAGAAAAATAATTTTCTTTTTAGTTTTTGTTTTTCCTACATAAAAAAATCACTAAAACAGAATAAATTTCTTTTGATTCTTAAAGAATAAACTATGATTCTTAAAGAATTAACAATGATTGAAGGTGGTGGTTTACGATGATGAAGTATTGATAGTGACATTTTTATGTATGTAGATGGCAAGAGAGGATGGTGATTCATGCGGTAATCGAAGTCGATATGAGAAATAACCATCGACACTCTCTTGATTAGACCAAGAAACAACCGACAAGCAAATAACACCGTCAAAACACAACCTGTATTCATATCCAACTTTTGCATATATGATTTTAGACTAGTTATTCTTTTAGAATTCGAATTTGTTTACGCCTAGTTCCCGAGTTTAATAAAAGAAACGAAAAGAAGAGAAAAGAAAGCTAGGAGAGAAAAGAAGAGAAAGGAAAGGAAAACAAAATTTTCTTTTGTGTTCCCGAGTTGGAGAGAAGTAGAAGGAAAATTAATCATTTTGTTCTTTGTTTCCAAATCCTCCCAAATCGGAAGAAAAGTTAGGAGAGAAGGTGATCCTTCCATTTCCCCCCACTTCCTTCCTTTAATAAAACTCGGGAACACCAATTTCTTTTACTTTCTTCTCATTTCCACTCATTTCCTTTCTTTTCTCTCGTTAAGTTGAACTCTGGAACGGGGTGTTAGAGTGCAATTTAATCTTTAAGAATATATCATTTTCCTTTAAAGAATGTATTGTATTCCTTTTAAGAATGTATTTTATTCTTTTAAAAATATTATTAATATCAATTTCTTTTTAATTCTTACAGCTTACACTTGTATCATATCTTGAAAATGTATTCAATTTAGTTTTATTCTTTAAGAATGACCTTGATTTATGAAATTTTATATTAGACTCAATTTTCTCACTCATTCAAAGCCATTCATATTTATTCTTAACACAATTCAGATTTATTTTTCAAGAATGTCTATTCTTGCATTTGTAGTTTGTAATAATAATAATAATTATTATTTTTATACAAATTGTTATTCTTGAACATATGCATTCTTATTCCTTAAGAATGTTGATTCTAAAAAAGAACTCTTGACTGAAACTTGAAATAAATTTGAACGGGTTGAATGAAAGTCGTATTCCTAAAATATATTAATTAAGTTAAATATGTTGAATAAAATCCAAGATTTCATATAATTTTCATTAACTAATTTGAATTAATTGCATAAAATATAGATAATATTTAATTTCTCTCTCTTAGTAAAATGTGACATTTGTCCATATAATTAATTAAGTCATAATAAATGTCAGTACATGATAATATCATGTACCTTAAGATCATAATCATTTATTGTTTTTAATCCAATTGTTACAATTTGGTCACACATTCACATTAAAATTGTAATTCATATTTGATCCTAACTATATATATATATATTATATATATATATATACACACACATACACATACACACTAGTTTATAATCCGTGAGAACCACAGTTACAAATTTAATTAGAAAAACTAAATTTGAATTTTGAAGTGATTTGGCTAATATATCTTCATGACATGTGACATAATATTAATGAGAAGTTGTATTAGAATGACACATGGTAAAAGGAGATTAAAGTTATTCTTTTATTAGAATAAGGATATATATATATATATAT